CCTTTTATCCTTCAATATATTAAAAACCAAGATAGTGTCCTTCAAATGCGCAGTATCTGATATTTCTATCAACCACCAGATCATTGAAAACAGTGAGTTTTCTAAATTTTTAGGACTATACATTGACAAAGGTCTCAAATTTAATGAACATGTCAAAAACCTGAATGAAAAATTATCCTCTGGTTGTTACGCTGTAAAAATTGCTACAAACGAACTAGGTTACATAATCGCAAAGTAAGTATACTACTCCTTGGTATCCCATTCTGGGGAGTGTGCAGTGGAAATGTTCTTCAAAGTGTTTTTGTTTTACAAAAAAAAGCTCTGAGATACCTCTGTAAATTAAAATTTCGCGATTCGTGTAGAGTTCACTTCAAGCAACATAACCCTCTCACGGTAGTGTGTATATTTATACTTGAAACAGTGTGTCTCATTTATAAACATAAACAAAATTTCATTACAGATAGTAGATATGCCACCCGCCAAAGTGACCATATCAAACTACCTTTACCATATTCCACTCTAGTTTAGGACTCCATTATATATAACGGCTGCAAGATGTACAACTACCTTCCAAATTATATCAAAAATATACAGTCCAACACTGGCTTCAGAAAAGCTGTAAAAAGAGTTCTTTTCGATAGAACCTATTATAGTTTGGAAGAATATTATGCGGATATAATAGACTAATAATAAATATACCAAAACTTTACATTTTGATATCATATACCTACTATTGTTTGTTATATTTTAAATTTTAAATGAGCGACTGATTGCTTTTTAACAATTCAATTTTATAAAGTAGTGACTACGTATACTATGTATACTAAGTAAATGATTATCTAAATGTTATTCCTATAATTTAATTTAATTTATTTTATTTATACAGGCTTTGTCAACAAGATGTTATTCTTTGATAATAAAGCATATTTTGATTGATTGATTGATTCATCATGAAAGTACCTACTTCCGTCTGAAAAACATGTATTGTATAATAGGTTTGGGTTATTGGTCAATTTATCGTTGAACACCTCACAAAACTGAAGTCGACGATCAGGATCATCTTTGTTCAATTCCTGAACTAGCCTTATTTTGAAAATATGGAAATTGTAGGGTTTCAAAATCCAAAAAACACTAGTAGCTGATACACCAGACGCTCTAGCTACTTGTCTGATAGTTTGTCGATTATTCATTTTATACATGTCGTAAAACTGCAACTTCAACTTCCGTTATTTCTGACAGGACGGGATACTTCAAGTTTATGTTGTGAACAAAACCTGAAGTTCGAAACTTGTCCATTAACTGTTTAACGTATTGATGGTTCACGATGTGGTCTGGATAATTCGTATTATATATTCTTGCAGCAGCTTTAGCACATTCATTATTTCGATAATAGGTTGCAACAATTTCTATTCTTTCTTCAGTAGCATAAACCATGTTGGAACACAGTGAACAAGGATGAGTGAATAATAATTCGTGAATAAGAAGTGACAGTGGCCAACTATCTACTTTTCGATCTGCGACAACTAGATTCAACAAATACTACCAGTGCAGAGAAAACTAACAGTGTCGTCCATTTCAAAACGTTTACTTTCAATTAAATAAATTCTACAAATCTAGAAGACATGCGACAGGGAATTGTTCGGGAATGCCGATTTCTGACTCCGTACATCTTCAAAAGTGTAAGAAACGCTTTCGAAAGTAGACTGTATTATTGTATGGAACTGGATGAAGGTCTTTTGAGAAAGAAAGTTTTTGGCTTTCTACGACTCCATCTTGATACAAAAAAATGTGGAAATCTTCCAAAGAAAGGATAGAAGTAATCAATTTGAAAATAAGTAACTATACATGGATGTGTAGATCATGCAATGAAGCAACTTTCAGACACAAACTGAAAGAAAGCTCTCCTGAAACAGCTACTTCCATATAAACATTGAATTACACGTTTCTTTCGAAACAAATACTTTTATATGAACACTGAATTACACAGAAGATACTTCTCTTTGCTCAGTTCGTATTCCAAACATTCGTTATGGAATGAAATCAGATATCATCCACAGGAGTTCTAGTTCAAATGAATGGTGCCATTTATTTAAAATAGAACAATGGATGGAATAAACCACACTGGATATGAGAAGATTCATATTGGACAAATGAGTAGAAAATTAAAAGACACAATCACTTCACACAAGAGTGACATAAGATGCAATAAATCATCTTGCACCGTTTCTAAAAACACCATTTACTCAGATCATGGCTTTTATTTTCATAATGTTCAAATTTTTGATTCAGAAGACAGCCATCGCAAGTCTAAGCCTGATTTATACTTATCTTCTTTGTTTAAATAAAGATAATACATTTGATAACAATTATTAATTCCGTAAAGGAAACTCTTCACCTTCACTGTCTGTTATATATCATTTTATGGTTCTGTGAGATCTCATTGGCACACTGCAATGGTCACAACAATAAATTCCGTCGAACACTTTCTGTCAAACTTAATGTGTTTTATCAATCATGTCCGACAACCTGTTGAGTTCATTTCCTACTACTCAATTACATATTATCTGTGCAATCATCTCATTTTATCATTAAAAGAATACGTAATGTTATATGTTTTTAACTAATTTTAATCTTGACATACAAATATGAGGATCCTTTTTGTTACTGTTTTGCAAACTTCATTTTAACCTCATGAACAGGTTGTTCATACCTTTGTTTATTCAATAATTATTGTAGAGGTCCTGATGAAGAGACAATAAACGCCTCAAAAGCTTGATAAAAAAAGGGTTTTACAATCTTTACATCTCTGACTGCTACACCCGATTTCATTCCCTGCGTTATTCTTCAACTTAGCCAGTCGAGCTAATCCTTCCTTCCATATATCTATATATTTTCAACGTCAAATTTGCATTTGACTTTTTTTTATGTTTGGATTTATATGCCTTTTTTATATTTTAAACTAACTTTGGTGAGTCTTTTGTAACATATCTATTACTTAATAATGTTTGCATGAAAGGAAAGGAAAGGAAAGCTTGAATAGCAAAAAATAGTGTTTCCATAGCCCGCAGAGATTGACTGAAATACCCAACTCAAAAATAACCTATAGTTATTCAATAGCCAGTCGAATAAACTTGACCTTTCAATATATACATATATATGACAGCACGACCAGCTGTAGAAAGCGCTCGCATATAATTAAATAGGAGTTATAAAGCTACAAATCCTTTTTGCAACTTATATTAATATTAAAACACTAAAAATGAAGGAAAATCAGGAAAATCAACACAATAGAGCAACTAGACTTCAATTCAATTATATATGTCTACTATTTGTCCCACAATTTTTCTCAATTCGTTCAGCCCCAAGGATGCTACACGTCCGTGAAACTTCTCACGTACACCAAAATCACATTAATATCCAATCTATGTATCTTCCGTATCATCAAATCAAATTATCAAATTATTTAATCAATAAGAGGATCTGCTATAGATGCCGTCATTGTATAGCAGTGTTCGTTAGACAGTGTTACTTGGCTGAAATGCCCAGTAAATATTACGTGAATTCTTTAGTTTGAGGTGAAAAACGAAGATGTGTATACCCCGTGAAAACCGTTCTGTTTCATGTGGATTTCATAAAAAACGTAACGAATCAAATGTGTCTGGAAAAATTGTTGAGAAATCGTTTGGAAAAATTGTCAAAAAGTCTTACGGGTCTCTCCGAAATTCCATTGAAAAATATTGGATATTATTGATAGTGGCTCATCAGAATGGCACTGACATCGAATTATTTTGGTGTAATGTCAAGTTGGCGGATCGAAAGCCAAGAATACATTCTAATTTTATAGTGATTACCGTCAAATTATGTAATGGTAAGTGATAACTTTGGATTCTGATGAGAATATAAGAATTGGAAAATATATACAAAATATATAATTTTTTATTCCTTCCACTTCCAAACTTTCTCATTTCCAAGGATCAATTCTGTAGTATCTCCTTTCACATTTTATTTCTTCGTTCACATATCTAATTGTGTAGTGTTTCTATGAGTACATCTCAATGTTCATATTTTTTCATAAACTACACCTTACGGTTTGACCTCCACAAATTTAATTTGAGAAATATATCACATGTTTCGTCAACACAGTAGCTTCTTCAACAGTGATTTGAATACTATAAGTTGCTTCTTACGTTAATATTTATATGCCACAGATATCTACAATGGAGACTACCTCCATCAATGTTCATATGAAATTAGTTGTTTTGAAAGGACTTTTTCTTGCAGTTTGTATTTGATATGCACTTCATATCTTTAAAAAGTGTTTTTAACATCCGGGCTGGAAAGTCCCGGGTCTAAGAAAAAAATCGGTGTTATTTTGCTCAGAACCGCCTTTATCCATTCCAGCGCCACTCTAACATTTCAATACCACTTTTGTAGACCGATATATCTTTTGCCTCAAAATAGGCCTTAGTTTCACCAATAACCTCTTCATTCAAATGAAATTTCTTACCGATGAGCATTTTTTGAGTAATTCGAAGTCCAGTTCTTGCAATTTTGCCATTGTTTTGAGTGAATTGTGACACGATGCGTCGTCTTCATGATGGTATTTTCCTTCTCGAGATAGTCGATGGATATTACACCATGCACATCCCAAAGTACCGAGGTCATAACCTTTCCACCCGATTGTTGTGCTTTCGGACGCTTTGGACGAGGTTCACCAGTTGCTCTCCACTAAGATGACGACGGTTTTGATTCCGGAGTGAAGTGATGGATACATGTTTTATCCGTTGTCACATATCGACGCAAAAATTTCGAATTGTTATGTTTAAACATGGCCAAACAAAGAGCTTTCCCATAGTCAAATGCCCATGCGATATAAACACGTTCTTTTGATATATTTACAATATCAGCTAACTAACGCAACTTCACTTTTCGGTCATTCAAAACGATTTTGTGATTAATTAATGTTTTCATGTGTTACTGCATCGTCGATGTCTCTAAGACCACGTTTGAAGTCAGGAAACCAACGTTTAATTGCTGTATCTGATGAAACGAAGTTCTTATAACACTTTTCAAGCAATTGCTTCACTTGAAATGTATTTTCCTCTATTTTTTTTTTGATTCATTGTTTTGAAAATAACAAAAGAAGTGTCTTCAATATTGTCTGTTTCAGTATCACTGTCGTCATTTAAATCAATAATGGATTTATTTCCAACATTAATATGGAAGTGTCCAATCTCCATATAGTCTTTTTCAACTGAAATTACTTTTTAAATCCTCTTCTGCCAGTCCTCTTAGGTAATAGTAGATACTTCTTCTTCAATTAGCTCTATTACCTTCTTATCAAATTTTGGAAAATTATTTTTACGCCTCATGCTTTCTTTCAATTTTTCCCAAATCAGCTCAATGGGATTGAATACACAAAAAAGGGGGAAATCTCAGTATGGTGTGTCCATACTTTTCAGCAATATTCTCAAGGGCATACACTTTTTCAAATGTTTCTGTCTATAAAACTTCAAGTTGTTGGTTTTTGGTATAGTATCCAAATTTGGGATCAATGTGTTTTCGGACCATTCCTCAAAAATATTAGCTTCCATATTCTTATGATAGTCAACTTTGCAGTACTCAAGTTTTTTCCATATGATTTCAAAGAATTCGGAACCCATCTTTACTTCCTCCGCAATGCACAATGACTGGTCGTGATCCTTTGTTTGCAGGCATGTTAGGCGTACACATTCTCGAACCATCAGTCCACCTTTTCGTAACTGTGTCGTCCAAATAGAAAATTTGCCATTGTTCTTGTCTATATTTAGTTAGTTGCTCCAAGTACTTGTTACGCAATTCCATTATTCTTCTGCTTTCCATAACTGCTTGACGTTTGTTTATTATTTCAAATCTAAATCCTAGTTTCTTTATCCAATTCTGAAAAGTTTTGTCACGTTATGGCCGGAATTATTCAATTTCTTCCTTATGATTTCAGTTGTAGGAATCTCATTTCTTTTGTAACAGTCGTATATTTTTTTTCAATGACTTTATTAGATGAACATCTAAAGGTTTTGGAAATCCTGTATCACATCGCGTCTTGCGTTCATGAGGTTCGTTTTTGACTATTTTACGTACAGTTGAGAAAGAAATTTCTGTAAAATCTGATGTTGCTTGTAATAGTTTGTTTCCCTCGAAACCAAACTTAAGATGTAGATTCTTATATACATTGAAACATACTCTCTGTGTTTCAATATTCAAATGCATCCGAATCTTATTCACTGGTATCCCTTTTCCGCATTGTTCACCATCGCTATTGGAATCACAACACTGGAAAAAGTATGCGTTGTTATCACACTCGTTATTACTATTAGTACTTGTCCAAGGACGCCACATTTTAAACAGATAATAGAAATTTTAGGTAATTATAACCAATATCGAATTTCAACGCTCAAATCGCGATCACGACGACAATAACCATCCCCGCATTTTCCGATTTCAATTCGTCACCGTAACGTGACTTCAAATTCATTTCAAAAACTACACCTCAACGATTTGATCTCCACTAACTTTATCTGTAAAATATATCTCAACATGTTTCGCTAAGACATTAGCTTTTTCAATTGATTTGAATCACTTGAAAAAGCTAATGTCTTAGCGAAACATGTTGTGATATATTTTTCAAAGAGAGTTTGTGGAGATCAAATTGTTGAGGTGTAGTTTCTGAAATTACTATGGATCTTCATCAAGTAACGGCCGAATCAATCACAAAACTTCAAATCCAATTTTATGACTCTTCAGTCAATCATAAAGCTCTGTTAGTAAAAATTATCCAATACGAACCGCCAATTCTACAGTCCACGTGGACTGGAGAATTGGTCTTTGAGGGTGCCGCTAACTTTAAGTGTGCACAATATCGTTTATTTCGACTATACTAACTGAAAAAGTGGTGAATGCAATAAGACTAGCACCATATATGTGTTAGGCCCGAGATTTTCAGATCATGTAATATTGTAATTGAGTAGTTGAGAAAACCAAAAAGTTTTTCCCAGAAAACAAATACTTATCATCAAGTATTTTAAATTTATTTTGGTCTGAGAAAGCCTCAAATTTTTACATTGTGTGTATTCATAACAGAATCGATGGCGTAACTGCTGAAAACACTTTTGTCACACCAGAACAAATATACTGTCTCTCGACTAGCGTTTTGCTAACCAACTGAGCATAATTTTATAGAAACACCAATTTCCACGCACGAAACTCAGATTTTCAAGTTCAAGTCCCAGTTCGAAAAATTCAAGTTGAAAGTGATCATTGAAAGTTGGAAAGTAGAAACCTGAATTCAAATTTCGTCTGGTGATACTCCATAAAAAAACTTTTCGAGAATTTCGCTGACGAGCCTCAAAATGAAAATTGCTTATATTGTTGTTTGAAATGAACAGATGTTTGTGATGATTGTTTATTATTATCAGGTTAGATCTTAAGTGAGTGGGTCTGTTCGACCCTCCACCGCAACCCGTAAGGGTTTTCACACTCGACCAAATAAACCTAGCTTCTTAACGAAGCCGATTAGTTTGTATGGTGAGTGGTCTTTCAGGTCAGATGGTAAAAGTAGGCTCTGCCGAACTCAAAAAACCTGATTCGGTCCTCAGCGGGGCAGACTCAAAGTAACGGCTCTGCTGTTTCATCGTTTTCCAAACAGAGTCGACACACTCTGTCTTCCTACAGTCTGAGTCTCTGCATATAATTATTTAAATGACAGTGACCTGTGAGAAGGCCTGTTGAACATCGTAGTTCTTCCCTACTGTAGTCCAACAACTGTCTGGTATCAAGTTTGTTATTGTTTACAGAGGATTAATCTTCTCATTGCAAACTACGTCATGGTTGAAATTGATATAACTGTTATCTATGATTGAAATTCGCAGATGTTAATTTATGCAAATCACAATCACAAACGATAAGTCTTGAGTAATCCTCGGATTGAATTCCAAATCAGCTATATGATTTTCTCATGCAATCTAACTGAACGGACATATTTTCATTAACATAATCAGTTTTTTTTGCTCAGGTTTAGTAACAGTTCGGCTTACACAGAAAAAAAAATGTTGATTGAATCTGATTTTGTTATTCAATTTAAGTTGCCTTCGAGAGCGATACAAAGATTATAGCAATTTTTTCGATATCATTTTAATAGTACGATTTGTATTCAGCCTCAAAATAGGCCTCAGTTTTGACGATTATGTCTTCATCGGCGATACATTTCTTTTCAGCGAGCATTCTCTCGAGGACTGAGAACAGGAAAAAGTCGCTCGCAGCCAGATCTGGAGAATGCGGTGGATGCGGAATCAATTCGAAGCCCAATTCATGCAATTTTGCCATCGTTTTCATTGACTTGTGACAGGGTGCATTGTCTTGATGGAACATAACTTTTTTTCCTTCTTATGGGGCCGTTTACCACGATTTCGTCCTTGAAACGCTGAAATAATGCTATGTATCTAATAGTCGCTCTTGATGGTTTTCCCTTTTCCAGATAGTTGATTGTACTGAAAAAAAACTGAGCTTNAAGGCGCTCTTAGAGCTGTGCCTGTGCGAAAGTAGCGATTCACATTGGATTTGAATCGCTGGAGATTACATCCATTTGGAAACACTTTGTAAGGATATTTATTCCACATTAACGTAGTTCTCCAGATGGAAGAGTTCCAAAACAGGGAAGTTCAAGGTGTACTGAGTTGAACCTCAAAACGATGAGAAGTCACAGTCCGCCGCGTACTTCTGATATGTACTGCTCTCGGTGGAATCAAATATGCCAAGTCACTTGAATACCTCCCGTGAAAGTATCTATAGAAATGAGACAAATCTCCAACCTTTCTTCGATGTTCCAGGGTATCA